GCCCCTTGACCTCCAATCTCCAAACCTAGGAGCTAAAGAAATCTCAGTCCTTTATCAATAAACTACCCGGGGTCGGATTTAGTAGAGGATAAACATCATACCTCACAGAACAGCAATTTTTAAATAAGATACACACACTACTTTACGCAAAGAACACCCTTCCCTGTCAGTAAATTCCAAGGAGAACCTACTTGATGGGATCAAGAAGTTCCATATTACACAGTATCTCCCATAGAGGTTTGGACGGAAACTACAGAAATAATCCCCACGAGGCTACTTCTTACATCAACACTTGGTCATGGCTCAGTGAACAAAGTCTTGAAGGCGCTTCTACATGGGCTGAGTCCGTTAGGTTACTTTCTGCTTCTCACTCGAATATAAGAATAAATATCAGAATAGGCAAATAGGAACTGTGATCGTTGGCTTACCTGTTAGTCTTTATTCTGTTGCTGAATAACTAAATACCACCCTGGGTAATTTATAAAGAATTAAGATTTCTTTAGCTCATGGTTTACGGAGGCTGTAGGTCAAGGGGTCACGGCCGGTGAGGACCATCTTGCTGATGGGGACTGTCAAGTCCAGAGAGCGCAAGGCCCCACGCGTTGTGAGGGCAGTCCTGTGTCGCGAGGGCAGTCCTGTGTCGCAAGGGCAGTCGCATGGGTGTGACATTCTCATTCCCTCCCCATCTAACCCCTCCAGGACTCAACCAGGGGCTCTGCCCTAATGACCTTTTCCAATCCTAATCACCCCCCAAAGGTCCCATCTCGTAATCCCATTTTTGGGTTAAGTTTCTGCCCTCATAATACCTCTACAACACAACCCCATTTCAACACGTGAATTCCGAGGGGGCACGTTTCAAACCACAGCAGTCCATCTCTGTTACATACTATCCCAGGCTCCCGTTAGGCCAAATCTGACAGCCATTCAGTTCAAAATATGTGACGGGGGAACCAGCAGTTAGCATAATGGCTATGTCGCTGGACTCCCACATAGTCGACCACGGTTCGCGTCCCGGACCCGGTGGCTTAAAAAACTCACACCGGGCGCGTGTGCGTGCCCAAGATCCCGAGAGGAGAATGGAGGAGAAGGGATTGCGGCGTGACCATCCCCCCTGGGGGGTGATTTCTCTCTTTCTGTCTCTATGTCTCTGTCTGTCTGGCAAGCGCACGTGCCCTATAGCGAAAAAAACCTCTCCAAAAAAAAAAAAAAATATGTGACGGAAAAGTAAATGTTCCATTACTAATACTCTAACGTAGCATAATGTAAACGGTCTATTTGTGGAATTCTGTAAAGGCTAATTATAACTAGTACACACACCTGCCTGAGGGCCAACATTGTACCGTGTAGCCATCTAAATAACCCAAATTTAGAGAAAACACCAGCCATCCCAAGACCCGAAGCTTCACACTGGACACATTTCCACTGTGAGAGTCCGGCCTCGTCTGAGTCCTCACCTCCCTGCTCTTCCTGCGAGCACTGAGCTACCAGAGTCAGATAGCCGTGCGGAAGAGTGACTAAGACCCCAGCAGGTGTCTTTTTCAGAGTTTTTTCTTCCTGCTACATCAGAAAGTTCTAAAGGGTTGCGTGTGACAGGTGTGGTTTTCAGTTCACATGTGAGATAAGCAGGTTTGTGTTCTAAGTTAGTGAAAGAGCAAAGCAGGATTAAGGCAACTGCACAGAAAGCTTCCAAGGCTGCTGACAGTCCACCAGAGCCTGAGCTCGTCCACACAGCCCACGCACGGGCCACGCCCAGGGGGCTGATGAAAATAGACGCACACATGACAGCAAAGGCATCCTGGTACTTACACAGAATACCTTCTCAACCACCACTTACTTGATACATGGGCTGTACGTTGCACTTTAAAACTGAAGGGAACTGGCTTAAAAGGCATAAAAAACTTCTGTCACTCAACTGGTCTTCCAGAATGACCGCCTTGTCTGCATCTGCGGAATGTCATCGGCCAATCACCCTAGAGCGTCCTAGTCTTGGCATAAATGGCAGTACCTGCATTTCTGGGTGCAACTGGTTCTTATCAGTTTTTTAAAAATCAGTCAAACTGGTGTCAGAGCCTGAACAAGGAAGCAGCGTATGTATTCACATTCCCTCCTCCGCGCTTCCCAGGGCCTGCATGCACAGTTTACCAGTTTCCCTATCGTCCTAAGAAATGCCGAGAATGACCTAGGGAGAAATTACTATTCCAGAGAGGTCAATCTCTCACAGCGCTGGCTGAGGGAGCCCAACACCCAGGCACTCGGCTGGCCCACCCTGACAACTGGACTCACGTCTGTGTGTGGGCTGTGGCTCAGAACATTCCAACAGCAAACACAACTTTTTGCTCCAAAATTAAAAATAAAACATAGAATGCAAACACCTCTTGGGTCAGCCTGGTGGTTAAGGAGCGGGATCCCACATGGCCAGCTGTGTGGTTTGAGTCCCAGACCCGGAAGCTTAAGAAACATGCCTGATGTGTGTGTGCATGCCCAAAATCCCAGGAGGAGAATGGAGAAGGGACTGAAACATGGCCATTCCCTCCGGGGGTACTTTCTTTTTCTTTTTTTTTTTTTTTTTGGAGAAGTTTTTCCTATACGGTGTGTTCCCTTCCTAGAAAGACAAAGTGTTCACTCACTAGAAAGACAAAGAGAGACAGAGAGACAGAAAGCGAGAAATCACCCCCTGGGGGGAGGGGGATGGCCACACCGCAATCCCTTCTCCATTCTCCTCTCGGGATCTTGGGCATGCACACACACGCGCCTGGCATGAGTTTAAGCCGCCAGGTCCAGGACTTGAACATCGGTGGATTACATGGGAATCCAGCGACATAGCCATTACACCATCTGCTGGTCCCCAAAATGAGAATAACATATGAGTAATACTAGATACCATTAAATGCCCAAACATATGGATCATTGGCATCCCGGAAGGTGAAGAAACTAATAAGGATATTGATAATCTATTCCATGAAATCCTAGAAGAAGACTTTCCAAACCTAGAGAAACACTCAAATATCCAGACCCAAGAAATACAACGGACTCCACATAGAATCAACCCAAGAAGATCTGCCCCCAGGCACATCATAGCCAGATTGATCAAGACCACAGATTTCTTACTTTCTATCTCTCTGTCTCTCTCCAGCGATCACATGTTCCCCGAGGCAAAAATAAAAATAGAGTGAGTTGACAGGTGAAAAGTGATTGCAAGGAGATAAAGGAAGCAGAGGGGACAGCGGTGTACACTGTACCAAGGTAGCACAGGTGACCCAAACAATGGTTGGGGCGCTGACTCCCTGTACAGCCAGAAATCTGTGTACCTTTCGGGTCCCCCAGAATAATCCAGGGACTTAAAGACAGACCCCCTTCACTAACGGATTCATCTGAAGAACCTCAGATTTCTATATCCAACTACACACCTGACGTCTTCATTTAGATAACTAGTAAGTACCTCACACAGAACGGGACTCTAGACAGTCCCCTAAAGCCTGCTCTCTACCCAGTCTTTGCCATCAGAGTGGATGGCTTCCTCCTCTCCCCAGCTGCTCAGTCAAAACTAGAAAGATTATCTTTGACTCCTGTCTCATACCTCAAATCTAACAGCACGTTCTGTGGACCTTCCTCCAAAACATCTTCTGAACCTCTTCTGGCCTCCTTCAGTCCTCTTGGATCAGTGCAATCAACAGACAGCACTCACGGGCTCACTGTATGTTTCCACACCACTCTGAATCCTGCCCTTTGGCCACCTCCTCCCACGCAGACCCTGGGGACACTCGTGCAACTTGTTCTCACCAGGGACAGCAGCAAACTGACACCAACGCGCTTGCTGGTTTCCACTTCGTGCTACTTTGCAATCACAAGATGATGACACATCCAGCCTGAGAGCGAGCCTTGACAGATGTAACACGGGGGGAGGGGAAGGGACTTCAGAAAGTTCATGCACAAAGAGAATTAAGGTGCGAGTTTATTCGGGTACTAAAAGAGTCCAAACTCCTGCCTATTTTTATCATACCAGGCATTTTCTACAAACCTTCTGACGACTGCATACATATGGAGAAGGGCAGCTTTGTATCAGCCATTCCAGCTGAAGCCTTCCTGGGCCATCCTGGACCAGTTGGTCCCCAAACATACAGAGGACCCAGGCAACACCACAGGGCTGCCTGCCCGACCACGGCTGAGCAGACACTTAAGCAAGGCCGGCCACGCTGTCCTGAACCTGGCACAGACTAACAGACCAGAATACATGTTACAAAGAAGGTCGTCGGGAAAGTCATGACGTGGTTTTCTGTGCCACCATGTGCGGTGACTTTACCGATGACCCACTACCAATACATGTTAATCAATAGTTCCTGTCGTCAGTAAGGCTTCTAGGCGACAACAGGACTGTCTGTGGTTTACTTGTGTGGGAGCCGACGGGGTGTCTGTGCAGGGAGGCAGCACCGCAGGCTGCACATCGCTGAGCAGGCACCAGCACTACTGAGCTCTAAGTGTAACAGACACGCGCTACTTGCACCGTCCCCTCTAAACATGTCTCCGCTTATTTCTCAACACGATCTTTTTGTATGCATTTTTTATTTTATTTTGACTACGACCACCAAAAACTCTCTGCCCAGACTTCACCCTCCTGCCCCCCAGATCTAGCCAGAAACCAGGATAAATCACCCTACTAATTCTGTCTCTCTCCATCTCTCCCTATTTTCAATTCTTAAAAAATGTTTAAACTTCTCTCTATGCCGCTCTTCTGTCTTGCTAATTCCTACCTTTCGCCCTTCCCCCATAAGATAAGCCAATCAGCAGCCACCTATATTTGAATTCTGAGCTGCTCCACTCTGAGCACTAGCACCACACGGTCCTCATTTCTGAGACCAAAAAAAAAAAAAAAATGTTCTTTTTTTATATATATTTTTCTTTTTTTTCTTTTCCTCTCTTCTTTGTTTTGTTCTATTCCTTTTCTCTTTCTTTTTACCTTTCCCCTTTTCTGCTAAGCCTCCACACACCGATTTTCTAGACAGGTCTAAGTGCTCAGTAGCCAAATAGCTGAACACTTTTAGGGTCAGATTAATCCTCAATTTTCATTGAATCAGATGTGCAAAGGGAGAAAAATGGTACTGTTTATAGATTGCAAGTCCCCTCCCCCTGCATTCCTCTGAATGCTCAGATTTAACTCCAAAAACTAGGGAAAAAAACGTATAATCCATCATATGACCAGAAACCGCCGCAGAGGCACAAGAAATATGAGAAACCAAGAAAATATCTCTCCTCTAAGGGAAAAGAATAACTCCTCTTCCTCCACAGAGAATACAAGGAAACTCATGGAACTGCCAGATAAAGAATTTAAAATATTCATAGTGACAAAGCTAACAGAGATGCAAGAGAAGAGAGACAGTGAACCACAGAAAATGCCAGAGAAAAGAGACAGGTTCCAGGAGGTGAGGAAGTTCTTGCACGATCTAAAAGAGGAGATGCACATCATAAAAAAGAATCAAATGGAATTGTTAGAGATGAAGGCTATAATACGGGAAATCAAAACCTCTCCCTTTAAAATATCAAAAGAAGATTAGATCATGCAGAAGATCGAATCTCAGATGTAGAAGATAGAATCTCTGACCTAGAAAATTCACCAGAAAGACTGAGAAAATAACCCCGAAGAATGAGAGTAACATATGAGTAATACTAGATACCATTAAATGCCCAAACATATGGATCATCGGCATCCTGGAAGGTGAAGAAACTAATAAGGGTTATTGATCATTTATTCCATGAAATCCTGGAAGAAAACTTTCCAAACCTAGAGAAACACTCAAATATCCAGACCCAAGAAATACAACGGACTCCACATAGAATCAGTCGAAGAAGATCTGCCACCAGGCACATCATAGCCGGATTGATCAAGACCACCGACAGAGCTAAGATACTAGATTGGCAAGAGAGAAACATCAAGTTACTTTCAAGGGATATCCCATAAGGCTAACATTGGACCTCTCATCAGAAACAATGCAAGCAAGGAAAGAATGAGAAAATAAATTCAAAGTGTTAAGTGAAAAACAATTTCAACCAAGAATACTGTACCCAGCAAGATTATCCTTCATATGGGGAAAAAAGACAAAAACATTCTCAGTTCAACAAAATCTGAAAGAACTTACCAAACCCAGACCAGCTCTCCAAGAAGTGCTGAAGGGAGTGCTCTACCAGGAAAACAGAAGTCAGACACACAGAAATAGGAGTACAAGAAACAACCAAGAGAAGGGCCAGCCTAATGGTAGGGACAAGTCCAGAGTTGAATGTTAACTTCCAGAGTTTAAATGGAAAGATCAGACCACAGGAACACTGCAAATTCAATACAAGAGAGATTGGGGCCAGCAGTTGGTGTAATGGCTATGTCGCTGGACTCCCATGTAGCTGACCACAGTTTGAGTCCCAGACCCAGTGGCTTAAACTCACGCTGGGCGTGTGTGCGTGCATGCCCAAGATCCCAAGAGGAGAATGGAAGAGAAGGGATTGTGGTGTGGCCATCCCTCCCCCCCTCCTCCCAGGGGGTGATTTCTCGCTTTCTGCCTTTCTCTCTCTCTCTGCCTTTCTGGTGAGCGCACGCACCCTATAGCAAAAATCTCTCACCCCCCCCCAAAAAAAGGAGATTAATTACATGATTCCAAACTAGTGAAATAGGTTTCTTTTCTTACTTTAGACTAAAATATTACTGATTTTCTTCAATGTTTTGATTTCCATATTTAAGAATTTTTGGCTTCTCTTGAACTGTTGATAGATTCATCTACCTACTGTTTTTCCTAGCTTTAAGTTTTAAGCCAATTTCTCTTAACATTTTTTGAGTTTGATCTATTAAAACTAAAACTTTTTTCTTGAAATAAAGAAATCCATCTAAAAATATCTATGAATACCTATTTAATGACTGCAGTAAGCTATATAGCCCAGAGAGGTGCTACTTTATAGTATGTTCACTTTATGAACTGAGGTTTATGCCTAAAGTCAGACATGTGTTTATAGACGTGCTTACTAGTAGCTGTGCTTACTACTGACTTTTTTTTTGAGAAGTTTTTCGCTATAGGGCGCGTGCGCTCGCCAGACAGACAGAGAGAGACATAGAGACAGAAAGCGAGAAATCACCCACCCCAGGGGAAATGGTCACGCCGCAATCCCTTCTCCACCATTCTCCTCTCGGGATCTTGGGCATGCACACACATGCACCCAGCGTGAATTTTAAGCCACCGGGTCCGGGACGCAAACCGCGGTCAACTACGTGAGAGTCCAGCGACATAGCCATTACGCTAACTGCTGGTTCCCGAAAATTTTTTAATTAATTAAGATCTTTAACAAATCAATAAAATGTGGGGGGAAAGGGCATAGAAAACAACTGTACATACCAGAGACAATGTGGGTGAAGGGGGGGATTGGCAGAGGATGAGAGGCAGGGAATCAAGGGGGGGAAGAACAGAAATATCAGAAACAAGAAATAGAAAATTCTTTGTTGATGATAACATGTATGGTAATATCCTTGATTGAGCCAATATACAATGTGTTCTGGATGGAAAATCTCATTTTGTATACTGTATTGATGTACAGTGAATGACTAAAATAAATAAATAAATAAAAGGGAAAAAAATAATTTTTTAGTATATTTTTTATTATTTTAAAATTTGTTATAGGGCACGTGAGCTCACCAGAGAAAGAAGGAAAGGGAAAAAGCAAGCTACCAGGTCTGGGACTCGAACAGCAGTCAGTCATGTGAGACCCTAGTGCCTTCACCACCATACCACCTGCTAGCCTCCAACACAAATCTTTTAAAAACATAATTCAGCCCATGTTGCCAACCCTGCTTAAACTCTCCAATACCGGGGCTAGCAGGTGGCATGGTGGTTAAGGTGCTGGACTCCCACATGGCCAACCGCAGTTTGAGTCCTGAACCTGGTGGCTTGCTTTCTCACTTTCCTATTCTCTCTTTCACTCTGCCCCTCTCTGGCCCAATTAAAATAAATAAAGTTAAATAAAATAATTATTTTAAAAAATAAAATTAAACTCTCCAGTACCTACCGCTATGCTCAGACTGAACCCCAGACCCCATGACCTAGCATACTCCTCCTACGGGATCCAGTCCCACTGCCTGCCTGGTCCACGGCAATTCAATCACACCAGCCCTTCCTCCCTCTCTGCAAACACAGCAGCTCCTGGCTGGGGGCTCTGCACGTGAGAATGCGTGACCTGGAAGAGCACTCCGCCTTCTCTCCCTTTTTCTCTCTCACCAGCTCCTTCCTAAAGGGTGAGATTTCGGGCTAAATATCACGGGCATAAAAAACCCTTCACTGCTCAGTCTAAGCAGTCAGCCGTCACTCTCATTCCCATCTTTCCCGTTTTATTAGGTCATGGGGAAAGACATGACGCGTTTTTTCTGGTTTTCTGTGCAAAAATGCGTCATGACTCTCCCAACGACCCAATAATTCTTTGCATGGTATTTATCACTAGAAGATATTTTTCTTGAGTGTGTGTGTGTGTGTGTGTGTGTGTGTGTGTGTGTTTAAGTTTTTTGTGGCTTCGCTTCATAGGCATGGTCAGTCAAATCGTTGTCAACTGGTTGTTAAGTTGCTCCCCAGCTCCTCCTCTTCCCTAGA